GTTTAGCAGTGTAGTCATATCCTAAAAGTTCCCTCCCTCCCTGCTGCTTCAGACTTTCAGGAAGAAGGGTTGTTGTGAATGTTCACAACCTACTAGAACCCATTTGTTATTTTCTTGGGGGGTGGAAGGGGGCATGAAACATACTGAAAACACACAAAGCTTTTGTGAAATGAAACACAAATGAAATGAATCATGTTTTTGTGGGTTCAGTGTGTCAATATATTCATTCCTCAAAAACACACAAAGGCACATATTGTCCAAAGTGTAGAGTTTGCAATTTTGTAAGTAAAATGAAAGAAAACATAAGAATCTAGTCCTAGTCTACCAACTAGTTAGGTAGTTCCCTGATATTTTGTGTTTAACTACCAGTACAGTTTTTCAAATTTACTGCTTTTTTAGTTTGATCTGATCCTAATATGCTAAAAACACAATTGACTGATTCAGAGCTGGCTGGATGAGAGTGCAAGTCTTAAAAATTGCCAACATTCTGAATTCAACTCTCCTGCCCCCTGTGATTTTACTCCCATATTGTTTTACTATTGTGATGCAATAAACTGTGATAACCTTCTTTGCAAACATAGATTTCAGATACAAAACTGGATCTCCAGTTTTAAATGCTAGAAGAGACGGAATGAACTATTCCGTCCTTGTGGTGGTTCCATTTCTTTGTTGTTAATTAGCTTGAGCTAGATTTCCTCATCAGCCAATAATCCAACAAATCCCTCTGAAACCTCCTTCAATTGCTTTTGTAAGTTTAGTGTCTCTTGGTACCATCCCTTGATGTACAAAGTTTATGCTATGTTTTGATCAAAGTCCTCCTCATCCTTAGTGCAAATTTCAGCATAATTACATTAGTTGAATACAAATACAGTGACAGCTGTGATAAGCAAAGACGCTCAAGATGAAGTCTCTCAGTTTAAGTGAGAAGGGACTGATAATGAGGGCCTATCAGTTTTGAAACCTGCTCCTCACCTTGGTCCCAAATAACCCAGCATGAATGCCTTTCAGTCTAATGCCCTGAAAGTCTAATCAGTTTACTTGATCTTTTGGAGTGGGACAAATTTAATGGGGGATGGTGTTTATGCGGTAGGGAAGTTTTATTGGAGATCATCAATTGGTTAACTTATGATTTTTATATATTTTTTAAAAATTATGTGCTAGAGTGTTAGATATTTTATTTATATCACACCTAAATTTAGGCTTCTGCCTAAATTAATAAATGTAGAGACACAATCTTTCTGGGAGTTCCGGACAGTATTGTGAAGCTGTGTCATCAATCCTCTTTTTCCTCAATCAACCAATCACAGAGATGATAGTGACTGTGGAAGAATTTTTGAATTCCCACGTGTTATTAGGGCCGGCTCCAGGCACCAGCCCAGCAAGCAGGTGCTTGGGGCAGCCAACGGAGAGGGGCGGCACGTCCAGCTCTTCGGCGGCGGGTCCCTCACTCCCGCTCGGAGCGAAGGACCAGCCGCTGAATTGCCACTGAAGACTGAAGCGGTGGCGGTAGAGCTGCCACCGAAGTGCCGCAGATTGCGATCGTGGCTTTTTTCTTTTTCTTTTTTCCTTTTTGCTGCCTGGGGCGGCAAAAACCCTGGAGCCGGCCCTGCGTGTTATTGAAGCGTGTTAGATGTTAAAACGTTTCACCAGGGTTCAAATAGAAACTTAGCAGCCTCATGTCAGAAGATTAGGATGATTGTACCTGAGAAGTTGTCTGATTCTTTTCATTTTATTCTTGTTGTTTGAGCAAATGGGCAAGACCTCCTTGTCAAATTTCTTTCTGCATTGTCAGGCAGCATCTTCAGCAGCTTGGATGCAAAATGACATAGTTTCATTTCAGCTGTAAAATGAATAGTATCATGTAGGAATGTATTATTCCTTATAAGGATGCTTTTGGGAATTTTTAGATCATAACTCGTGTGTGGCTAAACATCTTGCTTTAATGTGAATGTTGGTTCTTTTAATTTTTACTATAATTCTTCACTTGCCACATCTAGTAGCAGACCTGCAAGTTGAAATCTGTCTGTACTGGTACATCTGCGGTGAAGTGCCTCAATCATAAATTGCTCATTGTGTGCTTCCCTACAGGCACAGGAGACGGAGGTGAGGTGCAGTAAGGACATGCCACATTCTGCCAAAATACCCAAAAGGATCGTCCATGTTTAAATGAAAGTCCTAGCTCTGTAAGAAGCTTTCACATCAGAGTACACTTTAATTGTACTAAACCAGCTGATCACTAGATGGCCTCATAACCTAAGAGATTCGGGCAGATCTAGGTTTAGGACACTGTGCGATTACCAGCCTTACTTTTAAAAGCTTTGGAATTTATAGTTGTCACTTCAGAGGACAAGCAAGACCCCCTTTAAAAGGCTGTTTGCTAAATTTCATACTGAGTGTCAGAAGGATTCTAGAACAAGAGACTTGTGCTTTTGTACTCAGCAACTGTTTATAATGTAGGCCACTGATTCCCAGGCTGTCAGTTGAGACTCCCAAAGCATATCACCAGGGAGCCTCAGGGCCCTGCGCATGTGTGAAGAGAGGTAGAAAAAGGCAGGTCATAACCTCGAGAGCCCTGATGTGCAGCAGCACCACCACTCCTTCCAGTCTCCTTCCATCCCACAGACCCCTGAGCCCAACCACAGGGTGCCACCCCGCAGTGGCCCGGCTGCTGGGGCCCCTGGTCCCACTATAGCCCCTCTCCCTGTCCCTATTCAACATTTTTTTTCCCATTCTCCTCTGGGGGGTTGCTGATCACACAAGGAGGCAGCACCAAATTCAGCCAGCAGGGGGAACAAGAGACAAGAGTCCAACTTTCACCCTACTGGTTGCACACAAGGGGATTGGTAAATGGAAGCTTCCACTCCACCACATGCCTGGACTGACTGGGGAAGGAAGAGAGGAGGCCTGCTGCCTGTTAGTAACTAGGATGTGGGCAGTTGGGCCTTGTGGGTAGAGCAGGAGTCAGCAGCTAGGAATAGGAGCCCAGAGTGAGAACTGAAGTAAGAAATCAGGAGTCAGAGCAAGGTTACCTGGAGTGAAGCAAGGCAGGAGCAGGGCTGTGTCACAACACAGGCACTATCACAGACATGGGTAAATGCTATGAGCAGCTGCTAGCTTGCTGCTGGGCTGAAAAGCTCATCTGCTGACTCTTCCCTCCAGTTGGGTGGTGTAGCCAATCAGGCAGCCTACTGCAGGCCAGCTGTGCCCATTAGGTGGCCTGGAGACTGGCTCTGCTGCAGACCCTGATTCCTGACACCACCCTCTTCCCAGTCTCAAAGTGTAAAGGCAGTGCTGGGAGAGAGGTGAGGGAGGACAGACAGGATCAGCTGAGGGGATTTGAGGGAAAATTGGTATTGGAGCAGAGGAAATCCATCAGGAGGGAAACACATAGGTGGGAGAGACAACGGTGACCTTGTGGAGGAGACAGACAGAGAGGATCTGTGAGAGGGAAACATACTAAAAATTTGCTTGAGGGACAGATACAGTATCTGTTTGCAAGGGGAGGGAATGGTCCCAGTAAATCCTTTTGAAAGGGGCTGTTACAGAAAGGCTGGGAAACCCTGATCTAGGCTGAGTTAACTTTATTTCACAGAGGCTCTACTAGTGAGTGAAGGGGAAAAAAAACTTCACTGTTGTTAAAAATAGGTACAAGGTGTAAATCCATTTCCCATCTGGATTGCTTTTATTTACATTTTTAAATTTAGGGTTAGTTTACCCCAGTTTGTAAGAGTTTTTCCAAAATCTTTTTTTAATGTTAGGTCCATTCTAGAAGTTTCGTCTCATATCTGTATGACAGGTGGTCAGATTTTTAAGAAAATGATACTATATTTTATTGAATTTGGTGCTGGTAAGTTTGAGTTTTATGAATATAGATATCTTATAATACACAAGAACACAGTAATAGCAACAAAAATAAATACCATATCATTAAACAACGAGATATTTCATATGCATTAATTTAGGTTACACTTTCCACTCCACTTTCGGAGTTTGATAGAATTTAGATGGTTAACTCCTATTACAGTCAATGAGAGTGTGATTAAAGTTTGTACCAGCCATTGAAGATTCAGGCCCTGATCTTGTAAAGATTTATCCACATGCTTAATTTGATGCACTATGGTTGAAATCCTGCCCCCCCCTTCCCCCGAAGTCAATGGCAAAAACCCCCGATAACTTTGATGGGGCCAGGTTTTCACCCTGTGAGTAGTTCTGTTGTAGTGAGTGCAAGATTGGAGCTTTAGGGTTTTACTTCCTAGAAGCCAATATTCACATAGCAAAACAATCTCAAAATAATATGGTTTTCAGTTACCAAATTCTATCTTTGTTTTTATCTAACATCTTGAATTTCTTCCACATAACTGATAACTAATAGTTGATGGTTTTTCCCCACAGGAACATATCAACTATAAATTGGATCACACTAATTATTTTTGTTTCATTTTGTTCTTTACTTTCAAATGCAGAACTAAAAACCAATTAGAACACCAGTGTGGGAAATATTTGTTATCTGTTAGTATGAAGGGCCATGGAATTCTTAGAATTTCAGTCTCAAAAAACCAACAAAACATGGGCACCCTAGACATTGTGCTAGGGCATGAGAACCTGAAAATGAAACTGACTCGTTTATTTTCACTGTCCTGGCTGAGTGAAACACAAAGTGTGAACAATTAGTGTAAGGAGTGAAAAGTAAATTAGACTGCAAGGATTGTTTCTGATTTTGTAATCTGAGTTGCTCTCTTTCACATAAGGAAGAACATTTGGCTTTTAAAAAAAATATGTTTTAGCCAGACTATTCCTATATATAATCCCAGTCTAACCTCACCAAGAATCACAGAAGTTTAGAGATGGCAAGAGGCCTGTCTGAGCTGTCTTCCTGCCATTGCAGGATTTTTCCTTTACACTGGCATCTCAAAGCAAATCCAGCAGCAGTCCTACTATATCAAACACTGCCCCCTTTAAGGGATGTAAAGGAAAAAGCATGCACGTGGCTTCCAGAGCAGAGCACGAGCCTGATGATCTCATCGTGCTGGTGCACGTGAAACAGGAAACAGAAGCCAGGCAAATGCCATTTGCTATCTACAGCAACAACACAAATTGCAAAAAACATAACGGAGAAGGACAAATTCACTGTGCAGACAGACTCCAGGTTAAGCTGTCAGAGTAATAAACAAGGTAGGTTTTAAAAAAATGATTAAAAGTTCAAATCTTTTCTGCACTAGTGTTAGCAGCACTTTCCTATCAAAGACTGCTTTTACTAGCTCAGTCACTGCTCCCCTGGCCAACGAAGGCAGGGATGGAACTGTTAGAACATTGTACAAAGCTATGCTGACTAGCCAGCTGAAGCCATGAGTTTTTGAAGAGAGGTACATGGTCAGTGATGCAGACCTGGCAAGTCTCACTCTTTTGGATTAATTTTAATGCAGTGTTAAGAATCCCTTATGTTTGGATTAATTTTATCCAAAGAACACAATTAATTTGCAATCTATATAAAAAGGTAGTGCTGTACCTGCATTTGAGTCCTCCTATCCGTGGATGTATTTTTCCACTCACATTTCTTATTTTTAAAAACAGATTGTTTCCTCTCCTGTTGCTGTAGGAAAAACCCATACAACTAGGAAAACTGACTAAACAAGGAAAGTCATGAAACTGACCATAAAACGAAGTGCTATCAAATGCACTGTACAAACAAACTGAAATCCCCCCCTCTTTTTGATAGATTCAAAGATTTTAAAGACAGAAGTGACCATTAGATCATCTAGTGAGTCTGACCATCTGTACAACACAGACCACAGAATTTCCCATAGTTCTGTAATGTCTCTCAGCTTCATAGATTCATAGAGTTTAGAGCCAAAAGGGACCATACGGTCGTGTCGTCTGACCTCCAGTATATGAGCCATTAACTTTCACCCAGTTACCCTTATCCTGAGCCCAGTAACTTGTCTGACTAAAGCTTAAGCTGTGTTTGACTAAAGAATATCTTCCAAAAGGGCATCCTGTCTTGGTCTGAAGACATCAAGAGATGGAGGATACACCACTTCCCTTGGTAGTTAGGTCCAGTGGTTAATCACACACACTATTAAAAAT